TTCTGTTACCTGTATATTAATGAAAATTTTTAAAAGCTGCAGGCAATGAGTTGGGAGGTTGAGCGGAAATTTCGTAACAATGCAAATTTCAAATTAGATTATTGGAAGAAATATCAAACTGAGTTTCATTTATCCCACTGAGATTTCAGAAAGAGGGGGATCAAGGGAAAGAAGATCAAAGATTATGCAGTCAGAATTTATAAGGATGAAAATTATAAGGATGAATCAGGCAGTTAAGAGAAATACAAATTTTAAAATACTCATAATGTAATTTCTGTTAAACAGCTATTTACATAGTATAATTTATTTCCTTTTCCGAGTCTAAAAACCCCTACTTTCCCCCTAATTATGAATTCATAAGATTTTTAAAAACTAAAAGCATTTAGGGCTAGATGCTTGATGTAACGATTAAGAAGCAAATTGTGTCACCCACATGCCATACGGGAGCTACCTGGGGCTGGTCCTGACTGTGCTAGCAATTCCAGTTTCCTTCTAATTTGTGCCCTGGGAGGCAGAGGACTGTGGCACAAGTGGTGGAGTCCTTCCACAGATGGGAGACCTTGCAGATTCAGCCTGGTGAACTCCCCTGGTTCTTGTGGACATTTGGAGTGGAGATATAGATATAGGTATAGATATATAGATGTATTAATATAGTTATATTTAAGTATATAAAATATACATATGTATATAATACATATTTATGTATATTACATATACATATTTATGTATATTATATATACATAGACACACAAATATCTATGTACATAAATATATAAACATATAGATAAATATAAAAATGCAGACTAGAACATTTACTTCAATACAAACTATATGAAGTAAACGTCAAACAATGTGTTTAAGTGAAACTTTTGGGTATGCCTCCTGAATTTTTTTAAGTTTCTCTTTGGAACCACTTAAAAATGCTTCCTTGTGCCCTGCTACCCACCTGGAAAACCCAGATGGTTCCTGGTTCAGCCTGACCTAGCACCGATCTCACAGGCATTTAGGGAGTAAGCCAGCAGAAGGATACTCACTCTCATCTCCCTCTTCGTCCCTCTCTTTCAGAAGTGGTTGAAAAGAAACATGGTAAATAATAACATCAATATCTAAATATTGACTTCATGAATTTCTGTGAACCCACGCAAACTGTTACTGTAAGAAACTTCCCAAACAACAGAGTTTACCTTTTAAATGAGTGAATGGGCAGGGATTTATGAAGTCTATGAAGCACATATATTCAACGTGTGGAAGGCAAACTTCACACACAGCATCTTCCCTCCAGACCAGTGTTCTCAAATCGGCACATCTCACTAAACCCTCTTTGGATAACAGAGCTTTCAACTATAAATATAGATTCTTGCGTTGAAGCAGATCCTCTTTATATGATCATGTCCTCCAATACAGAAATACTTAAATGGTTATCATCAAAAAAATTTTAATAAATTATTTATTACATAAAACTGCTAATGACTTGTGAGTCTTGTGTAATTATAAAGCTTAAATGAGTTGATTAAAAAAATACAAAGCAAAAGGAGATTCTAATAAGAATATCTGTATGATACTTCTAACATTGTCTTGACAAACTTTTCTTCAACTTTCCAGAAGATTATAGAAACCTCTTAATGTGAAAGAATTCATGCTGTATTACCAAGAGGTAAGGTAAGTATGCTTAAATAGTTCTTCTGTCTAAAGTAAAACATATTTCCAAAGGAATAATCATGAGAGAAAATGTCAGTCCCAATGAAGGCATTAGTTCATGAAAATAACAGTTAAAAATTTTTTTGTTTTTCTATTCAGAAAATGTGTTTGCCAACTAGATAAGGGGAGTTGTGAGTCAGATGCATGAGTGATAACTTGACCCCCTGTTAGCCATGAAAATAGACACAATTGGATGACTTTGAACTAAAGGCCCATCATAGCCAGCTATTTTACATTTGCCATTCAACTCCAGAAGTATACAAATTACTCACTGAGACGCCCTCAGCTATCAAGATTATAGATTGCTGGGTGATCTAACTAAGAAATTCAGATGAAAATGATTGTCATTCAGTGGAACTTTCAAACCTCACTGACAGTCCATGTGGGACCGTGGTCTCTGAATCACAGGCTACTGTCAAACACCTGGAGGACGAACACTACACAATGGCTGAGCGATCAATAATTCACGGGCTTCCTGCCGCAGCAGAGGGCATCTAGGGTGTACACCACTCAATATATTGAATTCCAGGACAGTTTTTTGGGAACCAAGTCAGATTTAGCTCTTTGTGAAGTACTTGAAATGTGGTTATCAAAAAAGGAAAAGGGCGCTGGTAGGAACTGAGCCAACAGCTGTTCTTTCCCACTTTTGATTGTATCACTGATACTGACTAGGGCTAATTCCAAGTACTTACAGGCTGACTTGATAGATTACTAATCAATAAGTACGGAACAGTGTGAGCCTTACAAAAGGATTATGGAACAGGACAGAGAAATTAGTGACAAAGGAAAAAAACAACCCAAACAAAACAAAAAACCACACATACACACGCGAAAAAATTTTCCCAGAGCAAATCAAACCTAAACATGGAAGCGTGCCTTCCTGTATTCTAAGGGCTCTTAAAGTATGATTTCTCCCCGTCCATCTCCTATCTGATCATTCATGGGAAAGGATTGACATTAGCCAAGATTTTCTTGTGCATATGCAGTGGGAGTGTGCTGCGGCCAGCTACCACGGGTTCACACAAGCCAACCACGCCTTTTTACCCCCACCTTGGTTTTCAGTAACTTCCCCATGTTTTTCCAGGCAATCTCTGACATTTTCAATGTTTTGCAAGGCTTACTGAACATGACACACTTTATGGGTGGCATGAATAGAAAGGCAAATTTTGGAAAAAAAAAATATAAAATGGCACAATTCATGCATTTTTCTGAGTGTTTATAATACTTTCTTTTACAGTGCTTCACTGTTTATAGTGTTAGAAAAAGAAAGACTATACAACGTTTATAATGTTGTAGACAGACACATAAATGGAACATCCCAATCTGGCCATCCCCTTTTTCTTTTCACGTTTTGGCCCACCAAGCTAACAGAGTATGTCACCTTTCCCATTGCCTGAGGAGTTTTGCAGGCCCCAAGAATTCAATGTTAAAATTAAGACGGTCCTTTGGAAAGCAGGATTCATGAATATTTGAATTAAAAAAAGGTTTATGAAAAGTGGTCTCACCTAGTATCATGGTAGGTGCTGACTGGAAAAATCTAGAGCTCTGAAAACCCAAAGCAGGGTCTAGACACATAGAAGCAAGGGAATGATGGCAGAGCAAGGGGCATTGGGGCGTCTTGGTTTTATCTGACAGGCTCGCCTTCCCCAGACCTCATGGTAAACACTAGGCACATAGCAACAAAATGTAAATTATGCGTACAAAGTACAATACATTAAAGTATGCTCAAGCTGTTTCTTTCCTGCAGTACTGCAATGTGTTATTCTGATCTCCCTGCATTTCTGGCAAATCCTAATAATTTTCATGTGGTGATATAGACCCGGCATCATGTGCTGAACTCCTCATGTACACATTCCTCATCAACATACTGGCATTTCCTTAAACATGCCACACTCCTTTCTGCCTGGCATATTCCCCGGACTCTATGTGTTACAGTCACTGTGTGAAATCTCTTCCTTAGACCATCTTCCTGGTCAGTCCTCAGCCCAGCCAGGATGTCATCCAAGGCCTCAGTTCAGGATCTCACAGCCCATTTTGCTATGTCCCTTTGGACACATTTTTGTACTTGGTAAAGCGATGCTGAGTAGCATCTGAGCTGTGTTCCCGAGTTGGCAAACTCAGTGAGGGCAGCACATCACTAGCTGCTCTGTCTTCACATTCAGGCCACTGTTAAAGTATTTAAGCAAAAGAGGAAACACATGAAGGAAGGAAAAAGGAAAGGGAGCTTTTATTTAGCATGGGAAAGTTGTTTTCTTCTTTCACATGGATATTTTGCAAATTCCCACTCATGGTCGGCCTTATTTTTGAAGCAATTATGTTTTTTCTCTCTGTCGAAATCAAAGGGTTGGAATATATTTATACTTGGAAGGATTTTGTTCCACACTGTCCAAAGTTTATGATACAGCACAGAGCCATCACAAGATCTAGCCAGGGTTACGGACTCGGTAGATTCTTTCTTCTTCCTACACTTCTGATCTTTACATCATCTTGGGACCAGCCTTGGGTGCAGAGCATTGAGCCAACACCAGCAACACTGACACTTGGCTCCCCGCTTCTGCCCAGCCCAGCCCCCACCACCGGCACAGTCATTTGCAGAGTGAACCAGTGGATGTAATTTTTCACTTTTTCTGTCTCTCCCTTTAAATCTGCCTGTCAAATAAATGCATCTTTAAGCAATCTATTTTTACAGCATCTAATATCAGAAGAAAAGATTAAACTCATTTTTGGAAAGATATAAAAGATTATTAAAGCATAAAGTTATGCCCTTGCATAGTGTGCAACAGCTTTAACATTTGAAAATGCAAATACTCTTAAGTTTACATATTCAGCTGGCATTTCAATTTTACAGAAACCATTCTGATAATAATCGAGCTGCATAAATATAAAACCAAAGTTTTGTGCTCTTGAAATGGAATCAAGCCATCAAGGCAACTGATTTCTTATCAGCTTTGGAAAATCAATTACTCAACACTGGAAAGACCTTCCTTGTTAAACTGTAGCAAAGTAAATCTCCTATAAACACAGCACAGTGTCAGACAAAGGATTCAACCCAGCACGGCTGCCAGCCGGGAAACGGTTTCTGTGCTCATTGGCAAAGCAGGATTTCTGATGCTGCAGCCCACGGGAGTCGGACCCAACCGTCACTAGGCTGGGTTAACGGACTCAGGACTGTAAAGTGCCACCGAGACTTCAGTTGAGACGTCGTAAAAGGCTGTCTTCTCCTTGGTCTCCTGGGCAACAACGGAAGGTCTAGCTTGGGCAGGCTGCGCGAGGGTGCAGGGGATCGTGGTCAACGTCCACCGCGGTTCCTGCTTCTGCCATGGGCCGCCGCCCTGCTCGCTGTTACCGGTATTGTAAGAACAAGCCGTACCCCAAGTCTCGTTTCTGCAGAGGTGTCCCCGATTCCAAGATCCGCATCTTTGACCTGGGTCGGAAGAAGGCCAAAGTGGATGAGTTCCCACTGTGTGGCCACATGGTATCGGATGAGTACGAGCAGCTCTCCTCGGAAGCCTTGGAGGCAGCCCGCATCTGTGCCAACAAGTACATGGTGAAAAGTTGTGGCAAAGACGGCTTCCACATCCGAGTGCGGCTGCACCCTTTCCACGTCATCCGCATCAACAAGATGCTGTCCTGTGCCGGTGCTGACCGGCTGCAGACGGGGATGCGAGGAGCCTTTGGGAAGCCCCAGGGTACAGTGGCGAGGGTCCACATCGGCCAGGTCATCATGTCCATTCGCACCAAGCTGCAGAACAAGGAGCACGTGATTGAAGCCCTACGCAGGGCCAAGTTCAAGTTCCCTGGTCGCCAGAAGATTCACATCTCCAAAAAATGGGGCTTTACTAAGTTCAATGCCGACGAATTCGAAGACAAGGTGGCTGCCAAGCGTCTCATTCCGGATGGTTGTGGGGTCAAGTATGTCCCCAGTCACGGCCCTTTGGACAAGTGGCGAGCTCTGTACTCCTGAGCTTGTCCGGGACACTGCCTCCTGGGACCATGCCAGTCCAATGGTGGTCTGCGATAGACCGTGTTCACCGGCAGAAAATATGAATCTTAAAGCATTTAAGATTTTTAATCTAAATTCAGCATGTAGACTGCCATGGAAATGTTTATATTAATAAAGAAACAGGAAACAATAGTGTCTTTGCTTAACTAAGACACAGTTCATTGCATTTGTCGAGAAAACTATTGTTATTTCAATTGAAACGCTTTAGGAAAATATTGGGAAATGTGTTAAAAATTCTGTTTTTAATCTGTTCAGCTACCATTCAGTTCAAATAGAAAAATCTAAGTTTGAAAAGATAGTGTTTCTAAAACGACACAGAGATGAAATAATGGCACTAGCCATATTTCAGCTCGACAGCCGTTTCTGTTAACCTGGCTTATTATTAGGTTTGCCTATACATTGCTGTACATTGTTCTGAGAATTTCCACCTCCTCTGACTGTCAGCCTCAGTGCAGTCGCGTATCTCTGAAAAAAAGGTTTCTCCAGCCATTTTTCACATGCTTTCACACTCAGGAGACAAACTCCAACATTTCCTTCCTCGCAGAAGGGTCGTGGGTGACATCTCCATAGTCAGCAGAATCAGCGAGGATTTAACTACCGGAGCTTTAAGAAGTCTCTGTGGAGTTTGCAATGTGTAGGTATTTGCCTTCCATGAGTACATTTATTCAATATGTGTTTCTTGTTTGTTTTAGACACTACTCAAGCTGAAGATACTGGCTTTAGTCTATATTTAAAACATAACACTGTTTAAAATTGTTTTCTGAATCTTAATCCTGCAAACAGTTTCTTCAGTTATGCTTACTGTTCAAAGTCAACACGTTTATTGAAAACAGCAAACGCAGTACTAAACCGTGTGGAAACAAAGCATTCTTTATACTGCCTCTGTTTAAATTCCTGTGTCTACCCCAAAATGGTGTATTTGGCTTGACATATCTTTCAGACCCCCTCCTATTAGCTGTCACTATAAAGCTAAGTTGCAATTTTATATTCATGCAATGGACAAAGTTGAGGTGGATCCTTCACAATGAATAGTAAATGTTTTGAAAAATTTGCCTGTCTGTCTAGACTTCATCTCTGTTTTTCCTGAAACCTGGAAACCCTTGGAGTTCTAACGAGTTAACGCACAGTACGTAAAGGTGACCTTACAACACAGCAGTTTATTCCTGTCCTGTTGCCTCTTCTATCACACTACCAAATAATAGAACCAATATATTCGACCTCAATAAGCCAAAAGTGGAAGAACACACAAATAATCCTTAAGCCATGTGTTAGAGTGCTCGTGGTCCAGCTTTGCAAATACTTTCCATCCCATCATTCACTATCTCAAAGCTCTCAAACCCCATGACCTTCAAACCTAAGATTCTGCCCTTGATAAATAAGCAGACGCAGAGCCGAGGATGAACCTGTGATATGTAATATCTATTGTCAGTCTATGCAAATGCATGAGTTAAAAGAAAGGTGGAGCATTATTTTAAAAACCACTAAGTCTTATAATTTGACTTTTTCTCCTATGGTTTTGTAATACAAATTATATAAATTAACATTAATGCAGGTAAATACTTTTTTAAAAAAATTCTGTTTCCTTATGTTCTTCACGGTATGCTTTTGTTTTTTTCAGCATTTTCTTAATTTACACTCTTTCTAGTAACAAGCAATTGAGCTGAAAAATGATTTAGTTTTACTTTGGAAAGCTCTTTGTAATTTGAAAATTTCCAATCAGAGTGGAAAATTGAATGGGGGAACAAACACATTTGTGTATGTATATGTATATGTAGTCATGAACAGAACTATTTATGGAGTTGAAATAAAATACAAATACAGCTAACTAAATTCAAGAAGATATTGCGGCAGCCCCGCTTCCCATCCAGCTCCCTGCCTGTGGCCCGGGGAAAGCAGTCGAGGATGGCCCAAAGCTTCGGGACCCTGCACCCACGTGGGAGACCCGGAAGAGGTTCCTGGCTTCAGACCGGCATAGCATAGACCGTTGCGCTCACTTGGGGAGTGAATCATCGGACGGAAGATCTTCCTCTCTGTCTCTCCTCTCTGTATATCCGCCTTTCCAATAAAAAAATAATAAAAATAAATCTTAAAAAAAAAGAAGATATTGCGCAATAAAATAATTTTGACTTAGTTGAGGGAATCTAGAGGTTTTGCGGAAAATTGAATGACTTTATAAAAATATGAAAATTACTGTGAGGACTGTTTATTGGATCAATTATTTCCAAATCAATTCCAGCCCCTCAAAATATTGGATTATACTAAGCATACTTAGCTTTTAATATTTCATTTTTATGAAAACAGTCACCACCTCAGGTAGAATTGGATGTAACTAATGTTGACAGGTATTTTATATCCACCTGTAGCAGCCTGATGTGCCTATTCTAACATAAATAAAATAGGTTTTTCTGGGTCTTAGAATGTCACTATTGAGCCAGGCTTTGAGCTAAAACACAATCTAAATACACTTTGCTATGTTTACATGAATGGCATAACTTTTATAGTTTAAAATGTGTATTCTGATTACTTCATTACGAAAACACACACTTACTGCTTTTAAGAAGAAAGCAATGCAGCAAATGATGAGTAAAATCAAGACCAAATTGTACTTGCAATATAATTCAAATGGAGGTGATTGTCACAGTTCAGGGTTGGAGAAGAAGAAAAGCTCTGGTGCTGGGATCACTGGATTTGTATCTCAACTTATTTGCAAATCATTTAATATAACCTTTGCTTAGGTGGCTAATTCTCAAAATGGAGTTATGGTACTTTAATTGCAGGGTTTTTCAGGACTAAGTAAGATTACACACTGGAAAAGTAGTTCTTTGCATATAAAATTTTAAAGTTATAACAGTTAATATTAATGTCATTGTTGTCAGATTTGCTGCTTCTTTACTGCTTCAAGTCCTAACCTTTCTGCTTTTTTCATACTTTTTAAGTTATTTATGATCTTAACAGTCTATGTTGTAACCAAAAATCAGCTCTAAAATTTTAATTTGAAACTTAATTGGATTTGATATTCCATTTCCAGTTTGTGTTTTTACTTTCATCTTTAGGTTTGTTATTTTTACTTTAATCTACAAGGCTGGGGGTGAATTTCTCATCATTCTTTATGTCACTTTTGTTAATTTAGCTTTCTCTCTGGATGATACAACTTGAGGGCAGTATATCACCGTATTTCTATTCTTCCACAGCTTTGGAACAATAGGAAAAAGACAGAGGAGAACCTGAAGGGTTAAGTACAGCCTTTAATTGATACTAGATCCTGACTGGTGTCTCGAAATTCTGATTAAATCACTTACTATAGAGCAATCTGCACTGTCAGGTGAAGTCGGCTCCCCTAGCTGGGTGAGGTGGGGTGGGATGGGGTGGAATGGGATGGGGTGGGATGGGGTGGGATGGGGTGGAATGGGGTGGGATGGGGTGGAATGAGGTGAGGTGGGGTGGAATGGGATGGGATGGGGTGGAATGGGATGGGATGGGATGGGGTGGAATGGGATGGGATGGGATGGAGTGGGATGGGATGGGGTGGGGTGGAGTGGGATGGGGTGGGGTGGGGTGTCTGTATTTACTGTTATTCACTACAAAACCCTGGGTAAGGTCAAGCCCAATGACTAAACACCGTTACTTTTTATTTGGGATCACACTCGTCAGTAGGTTCTAACCTCCCATATTTCCTCGTGCAAGCATATTTCAGAACATATCTCTAAACAGTAGGGTGTGAATGAGAAGTTCGCTGCATCAATTTGCATATCCAACATCAATTTGATGACACTTAAGCCTCAACATTTAGTCATGCTATTTTAGGTAGGTCCACTAGAAAAATGGATGTGCATTAGGAACTAGATGCAGGCAGCCTTCAGGGCACTGCAACAGCAAAGAAGTGAAGAGCAAACCTCAGTTTACAAGCAGAAGACAAATGCACGTACTGTGGGATATTCACAAGAAGAGATACCACTAACAGTAATAACAAATGACGCATAGGTAAAACTAAAAAGACAAAATTGAGATGAAGATACTGAATGAAAAAAAAATAGCTTAATGCCTTCATGAAAAGCTCAGTAAAGCCAGAGGAAATATTACAGAAGCATAAATAATAATATGAGAAACATAAGTTTGAAAGAGTGGCCATGAAAGTGTCAGATTGTTGCTGCATGGGGGGGCGGGCATGGAACGGCAACAGAATAAGATGATCTGTGGGTGATTCAATACAATAAAGGTTACCAGGGGCAATGGTGGTACTCCATCCATAGCACACCCAATGTTGTATGTAGACATTTCAAAAGGTGGTTTAATCCTACGTGCCACAAAGCCTTCCCTCAATTATCCCTTAAGATAATATCCCTTGATTCAGGACTTTTGTTTCCCTGACCCAAGTTAAACCAATTCAGGTATAACCATTAAATCGGGAAAAATCCAAACTTTACTTGATGTAGCTATTGAGAAAGCAAATGTATTTAACTGTACTCACTTCTTTGGATTTCACTGCTAGTAGTTGCCACTGGCTGCTTTCCCTTTCATCCCAATTTATCAGAAGTTTAAGAGACTTGTCCCTACGCTTGGTAACAATCCCAACTCTAAAGTGAGTATGAAAGTGACAATTACCAGAGCATGAACTTAGCACAGATTTCCATAGTCCATTTTCAGTGACAGTAATAGTTGCTTATTAAGGTCATCAAGGATTGGAATGTAAACAGAACTCACTATATGTTAGCGATGCCTTTTAATATTACTCTGGCTATGAAATGAAATATAAATTATACCTGATTTTAATTTCAGAATCTTCAGGTCTTTTCATATTATCTTCACAAATCACTCTTACACAATGTATTTATTTATTTATTTATTTACTTATTTATTTTTCTGTGTAAAACCAACAATGTGACACATTTTAATTGAAGTGTGAGAATGTTTAATAAGCATCATACTCAGTATTGCCTGGTAGGTTAAATCTGATTTTTCAT